TTTTTTTTTAGCTCATTCTGCTTCTATTTTTTTTTTGTTGATTCTGTTGCTGCTTCGATTTTGCTGTCCTGTGTTGCTTTTGTTTTTTTTAATTGTCATTCTGCTTCTTCTTTTTTTGTTGCTAATTCTGTTGTTGTCCTGATTCTGCTTCTTTTGTTATCCTACCCTGTCAATATGAAAATGTATACAATTGTTAGTATTTGTTTGAATTTAAATGTTTAAGTTATGACTGTTATTAAGATTTGAGATATTATTAGTGTTTGTTTTAATTTAAATGTTTATGATTTTACTTGCATTTAAATATTTAGTATATATAAAATTAGAACTTAGATTGTTTAGAAGTAATTAAACTAAAATATATATTTTTTTTAACTGTTCGCTTTGCTTCGGTAAAGCGTGTCGCTTCGCTTCTCGCTTCTCGCCTAGGCGTTAGGAGCCTTGGTCGCTTCGGTTCGCTTTACGCCTTAAATAACACTGGTTCCTTTATATTTTTACCATAGTGGTGATGTCAGGACTAGTATGGTAGATTTTGTTATAATGCATGGAGAGGCACCTGAGGTTTACTTACCAGTTTTGGACGCCTTACACTACATTGGGGAAATCTGATAGGACAATAGGTGTGTTTTAGCAGAGGTATTATTTTGGTAAAGCCAAGAATTATTTTTATGGATTAATGCTCTAAATATAAATATGTAGAATGTTTCCAGTTCAACGAACAACCTTGAACGAAGAATCCTCAAATTTGTTGTCATTTAGCCCAAGCCAAGTTATCATCCTTCTCAATAGTGAACTTTTCTATTTTGGAATGTTACAGGGAGCTGCTCGTTTATATGGATCATCAATTTCATCCAAGGACTTAATTAGTGTATCTGGGGTAAGTTAATGATGGTTGTATTTCCAAAATCTTCAATTTACCTTTTTTCATTCTAGGAATTTCTTGTATTATCATGTACTTCTATAGTTTTTGAGACCCATAACTAGATGATTAAAGATGTTATTTGTGCAATCTACAATTTAATTTCGTCTGCCAGTTTTCAAAAACAATATATCATATATGTAAAGCATGTTGTTTTGGCCAAGGATGTGGGCCGCGACATGTGGCTCAGGCCACGGCCCTAGAAACTATCGGGCCATATTTTTTGTCCAGGGCCCACCCCTACTTAAAAAAAAACCTTGTCTAGCTGGCCCCAACCGAGGCCCGCCCCTACTTGCCTTGTAGTTGAAATTATTAAATGATTTATTATCATACATCATTGTTTTACCATGTGTGATATCACTGTTTATTTAATAGACTTCACCAAACTAAATTATCTCAAAATACCTTTACTTTTCACAAAAGTTGGACTGTTGGTCGATCAAAAGTTCTTGGAAATTGAAGGCATGGTGTTTGCACTTGAATGTCTTGAGTAACCTGCTTCGATGTTATGATACTTTTGAAGTCAAAGATTATTGTTTAGTTTAATCCTGGTTAATGAGGTTGCTGGGAGGAGTGGATGATGTACATACTCGACCTTGGGCTTCACTTGTACAAAGTAAATTGTACTGAGATTCGAACTCGCAATTTTGTGGTGGCTGTTAAAGCATCCAACCCAAAACCAATTTGGCATATAAATCTACCTTGGGATGTGTTAGTTTTTGATGTGGGATAACTCTTTTCACACCTTCTTCATGAGTGACTCAGACTCGTACGAGGGATAACAAATAGCTCCACATACAAATAAATGAACTAAAGCTGAACCGAAACAAACAGATAAACAGGCCAGGGAATTCAATTGGGTGAGAGTCGTAGCTCACTTAGACTATGGTGAGAATGAAATTACTTATGTTCTTTTAGTGGAGATCTTTTGGAGCCTTCTGGATTTTTAACTTAGAAATGGATATACTGGTACACAGTTCCGAAAACATATTCAGACCAAGGGGGGTCATCGTCCCCCCTCAACTTTTTGAAAATGCATTATAACCCCCTAAATTTTTAAAAACTGTCTTCCCCTAAGTTTTTAACAATTTTCATATATATATATATATGAAAATATACACACACGATGATTCAACTGGTGAATTCAAAGAACCTAATAGTTTTACATTTAATTAAAAAAATGGGTCATATCACCCAAGAATTTGTATTTTTTTTTATAGATGAACGATATGTTTTTGGATGCATCTCATGACTGAAAGGAAAAAAAATAATCTATGGCGACCGATCAAAATCACCGATCGATTCCTCCAAAACCACCGGATATCACTAAAACTTTTGCCTTTATTTAGAAATCATCCAAATTTCAGTGTGATTCATCCAATCGAAATCAAATTGAGTCTTCTCGCGGCATAGCAAATTGGAGAAGAAGAGCTATTTTCGTCTAAAGCTACATCAACGAATGAAGGATCTGCTTCGGCTAGATTGGGGAAAAGAGTAGTATGCAACAATGGTGAGCCATGGATCTATTGGACTTCAGCGGAGACAAAATCGTTCCAAACATTTTCAACAAATCTTAATTGGCAAATGTGCATATGGTAATCCATTGTTGGGTGTTATAAGAGAATTTATTAGTACCCGTTGGGCTCTTAAAGGGGATTTTACAGTTGGAATTCATGATCCAATGCATGTGCTAAACTGTTTCAATTTCTATGAGGATTATGTTTGAAGGTGGTTGAAGGATGCCACGTATATCGATGGATTCCTATTTTGATTCTTTAAATGGTTTCCAGAATTCTATCCTGGAGTGGAACCACTAGTTGTTTCGATGTGGATTTCTCTTCCTGGTTTGCCGGTGCATACTTTCAATAATGAAAGTGTGAAAAATATTTTAAGTCTTGTTGGAAGGATATTGGTGATTGATAACCCTACAATTCAACTAACAAGACCTGGTGTAGCAAGAGCATGTGTTGAGGTAAACCTTCTTCCAGAAAATCAGAAGAGGATTTGGTTGGATATGGGTGCTTCTAGTGGAAGATGGTTGAGGATTATCTATGAAAAAGATAGTAAGTATTGTTCAAGATGTCTTAAACAAGGTCATGAGGAGACAGAGTGTAGAAGGAAAAAGGAGGAGGGAGGACAGCAGGAGGAATTCTCTAGTATAAAAGAATCGATAGAAATTTTAAAAGGAGATTTGAAGCAAATTCTTAAAAGAAAGAGAGTGATTAATGAACAGCAGAAGAGGGGCCATGAAAAAGAATTTAGACAGAAAGATTTAGCAATTAAAGAGAGAGAGAAAGGGAATCCTAAGGATCCTAGTTTGAAGGATAAACAAATCCTGGTTCCTCACAAGTCTAATTTTCAGATTGGTGATCACTCAGGTAAAGATAAAGAGACAATGTATCATTCTGTAACTCAGAATGATTCAGCTAAGGGTGAGAATAATGGTCAGATGGATAATACTCTAAGTCTTGAAATTGTAGAGATTTTGAATTTTAATACTGATAAGTAACAGGAGGGTTTAGAAAGTATTCAAGTGACAGACAATGATCGAAATTTTGTTTCGAAGTACCGTTTTGGTCAGCTAAAAAATGGAAACGTTTCGGAAACGTTTCAGAAATGTAATGGAAACGCAAAAAAAATATGAAAACTCATAGAAACACAAATACAATCCATTAATTTATAAAAATAAGTTAACTAATTGATTAATTCAACATATTTATTGGGTTAACATCCATTTATACAAGAATAAATTTAAATTTGAGAGAAAAAAAGGCTTGACATGAGGCGATAATCACTTAAATTAGTTTCAAACACTTAATTTTTATGAAATAAACACATTTTTACATGATATTAAGGTCTTATAATACACATGAAATGTTAATGAGTACATACTTACATGGCTACATCCATCCCCCTGTGGAGTGTCAAGCAGGCTCATACATCAGTGTAGGCTCTGGGTAGCTACTTAGAGAAACTCTATATGTGACATAAATATGATGACAATAGTTACTCTAACTCATATTATTACGGTAATATTATTCAATTAATAATACTATTTTATTATAATACTAATAATGAAAGGTATCAAATTAAATTAATGGTACTTATGTATACTTAAAAATTAAATGTAATTACAGTGGGTATTAAATGTAATTGTTAATACTTATAACCAAAAAAAAAAAAAAAACAAAATACTTGCACATCAATGGGGTATTAAATATAATTACAGTAGGTATTAAATATAATTACAATGGATATTAAATATAATTACAATAGGGTATTAAGTGTAATTATTTTTTCTTATAACAAAAAAATTATAAAAAGCAGAAAAGCAATGAGAATTAAATGTAATTATAGTGGGGTATTAAATGTAATTACAGTGGGTATTAAATGTAATTATAGTGAGGTATTAAATGTAATTATTCATAGTGAACCGAATATATCATTGTTTCGTCGAAACGGTCCGAAACAGTGCCGTTTTGACCGAAATACTAAAATTTTGTGATTCAACTACTGTTTCGTTTCGGAGTGTTGAAATTTTGAAACGTTTCGGACGTATCGATACGACATTTTGATCCTTGGTAACAGATAAGATTGAGGATAATGTAAACGTAGAAGTAGAGGTGAATGGAGTGAATCAAAATAACCAGCAGTGTGATAATATTTTGGATTCTTCCTTCTTGATTGAAAATCAGTTTATTAATAAGGAAGGAAGTGGTGTTACGCTTGATGATGATGGAGGTTTGGTGAGGAAAAAACAGCCCCCTGATAAGTTTTCCATACTGATAGTGAAATCTTAAGGGGTACTGAATGCATAGAAGATGATTTTTATAGACCAGAAACAGAGGACAATATTGAAGGTGGTCTGCTAATCATGGACCCAATCCTTTCTGGTCCAGTTACTACATCAAAATCTAGAGATTTGACTCTTTTTCTTCAACCATTAAATGATTAATATACTTTCATGGAATGTGAGAGAAGCAGGTAAAGAGGTTACTAGGGGATGTCTTAAGGAGTTAATTAGGATGAGAGATGTACGTTTTGTTGCTATTCTGGAACCAAACCAGAGTCGGTGAAAATTATCAGGGATTGCTTATGCTTTAAATATGGGTTTCTATGTGGCTAATACACTGGCAGAGATGTATATGTGGATTCTTTGAAATCATAGAATGGATGTCAAGGTAATTGATGTTCATGAATAGGTTACGACCGTAGAAGCATCTTTTATGGGGTCTTTGCCTTTTTTGATTTCTGTGGTTTATGCTTGTTGTGATCATGTTGTAAGAAGACCTCTATGGGACCACTTGATTAACCTGCAAGTATCCATGGTTCCTTGGATGGTTGTGGGAGATTTAATGTGATTACTTCTTCATCTGAGGGAATGGTGGGGCTACTCCAAGTTTATTGCTATGGATGAATTGAGTTCATTTATACATAATGGAGGTCTAATGGATTGTGGTTATTCAGGTAGTAATTACACTTAGGTGTAATAATCATCAAGGTAGTACTTGTATGTGGCAATAATTCTGAATGGAATTTGGGTTCCAAGAGCACTGAAGTGGAACATATTGCTAGGGGAAGATCTGATCACTGTCCTTTATTCATTAGTGTGTTGCAGCAGCAGTCTAGGATTGTCTTATTTCAAGTTCCAGCATATGTGGATTGAGCATCTTTCTTTTCTCCAATTGATTGCTAGTAAATGGAGTGGACATTACTCATAGAATCCAATAGAAAATGTATTTTTAAAGCTCAATACTTGAAAGTGCACCTTAAGATTTGGAATAAAGAGGTTTTTGGGAATATATTTGATCAGATTAAAAAACAGGAGGATCAGATGTTAATTGCTGAAAGGAATGTTGAGGAGGAACTATCTGTAGCTCATCTTTTAAAGCTGGAGAAATCTAGAAAAGAGTTGGAGCATACTTTGAGATTGGAAGAGATTTATTGGAAGCAAAAAGTCAATATGAAATGGGTTATGGAGGGGAAAGGAATACAAAATTTTATCATTCAATAGCTAAGGGAAAAGCTATGAGAAATAGAATAAGGAGAATTAAAAATGAAGAGGGGCAATGGTTGGAAGAGGAGAGTAGTATAGCAAATTGTGGTGTTAAATTCTATTCAGTTATACTCTTCAGAACCTCCTTCATGGTTCTTAGTCTTTCCTAAATTGGTTACTGAAGGGGAGAATGAGAACCTTACTCAAATGCTTCAATGGAGGAATTGAAAGGTATTGTCTTTTCTCTGTCTGCTGAAAGTATTCTTGGGCCAGATGGTTTTTCTGGTAAGTTTTTTCATGCTGTTTGGGAGATTGTAAAACAGGACATACTATTTTCTACAAATTTTTCTTGAAGGGTGGTGTGGTGCCTAGATTTGGGAATGCTACTTTAATCTCACTCATTCCAAAGAAGACAAGTTCTTTTTCAGAGTTTAGACCAATTAGTTTGTCATTTTCTTTATAAGATTTTTACTAAACTCTTGGCTACTAGAGCACAAAAAAAAAAAAAGAAAATTGCTTTTGCTTACATATGTGGTATATTATATTAACACATCGAGTCATAATTAATTTTCACGATAATATCGTGTGAAACTAATATGTATGACGATAACTTATTCGACGTCATGACGATAACTTATTCGATGTCATTATATCATGTAATGAATGAGGGTATAAGTGGACCATAACGTTGTCATAAATTAATTTTTATGATTATAAGCAAGAATCAATTTTTATATTTAGATTTTATGATTGAAACTAATTTTTCCAATGATATCATATAAAAGTTAATTTTATAGGTTCTATACAACTAGAAATTTGGCATTAGCGCTAACTTGTTCAATGATCCCATCAAATAAATTTCTTAACTATGCCACTATATTTATTTGGCTCCCCTCACCATAAAATTCTGGTTTCGTCCCTGCTGTACATTTGTCTTGCTTCACTTTAGCTGGCAACTAATGAGGAAATTACAAACCAGAGGGCCTTTTGTTTTGATTACATCTTCTTTTCTCCCTTTTCCCCCTACAAGATTGCTGACTGGTGGAACTCAAAATAATCAGGTCATCCCAGAAGAAATTGTGCAAGCTCTTTTTTCAGCTTGCAAAAGTGGTAATTTTGACTTGGCTGACAAGGAAGTCAATAACATAATTGCAGATGGATATCCAGTTTCTCAGATGCTTTCTCAGGTCCCATCTTTGCTGTATTAATCTATGTTTCATCCAATAATGTAAGTTTCTATAAATTTTGAGTACTGATATTATGTTTCTTTCAGCTGTTTGATGTTATTGTTGGAGTGGATGATATATCTGACGAACAGAAAGCGAGAATATGCAAGAAATTGGGCGAAGCAGATAAGGTTACTGTTTTTATAAAGTTCATTCATTACGATTATTTCTGCATTCTACACGTGCTTTTAAAATTCGTTAAGAAATTAATTACTAGGCTATTTTTTTGAAGGGTTGCGAATTTGAAACCAAAAAAAAAAAAAAAAAAAACTTAGGAGCAATAAAGTGAACTTATCAAGAGCTCTGCCTAAATCTGAAACTAATAATTTAAGAGAAAAAAAAAGAAGCTTTTAAATTAGCTGTTCCCTATTGCGATCTTTTATGGGCTGATTGTGATCCCACCATATTATAAGGGTCTGAACATGATGAGTGAGAGAATGGGGGGAATAATAATGAGAATAAAATGGGAAATTTCTTGTGTCACTGGTTGTGATCATTTTCCTGAAAGGTCTCCTCCGCCCAAATCTCCACCCAAACACAAGCTCTGGCCCCAGAATGTTACTTAGACCCCCAGTGGGACAATACTCTGTCATGCGACTGTGATTTTACGATAATGCTTGACCCATTATATCCTTTCTTAACTCATATTCAAGCATATCAGATATCTGGCAAATGTATAAAGCCAAATTCTTACTTCTGCTCTTGTGGGTTCTGCAGCGTCTTGTTGATGGAGCTGATGAGTATTTGCAGCTCTTGGATGTAGCTAGTAATACAATGCGAGCACTTTGTAATATGCCAGAAGAATTGTCTTATGAGAATTAGATAGCTAGAGAGATGAGAATTAAATTGAGCTTATTCATCTTTGTCAAGAAACCTCGAAGAATTATGTTTGATGGGAGTCTCGTGTATTTAAACCAGACGATGCTATAAGTTTACATGCTCGTGTTGTACACTTGGCCGTGCTGCGTTCTCATTCTTGACCAAAAAAAGTATTGCTGTTTGTTAAGCCTTTTAGGCTGGCCTAGATGTTACATGGTTTCTGTAATTAGGGGTGTTAATTGAGTTGAATTTGAGCTTAATAGTTTGACTATTTACACATAAACGAGCTGGCTCGTTTAATTATTTATATATAAATGAGCTTAAAAAAATGTTCAGGTTTGGTTTGTTTAAAAGTCCTATCTGTAATTACTTTTCAGGTTAGTTGTTAATCCGTATTATACCGTTTTTCTCTCAAATTTCTTTCTTCGTAGATTACTAATCATGTATTAGTGGCTGATTTACTTATCTACAATCAGGTTCATTGGTGATCTAGTAGTAAGAAGGAAAATATACCAATAGACATTTGGTCAAAAGGTATTATTTGTTTTGTAAAAATTTTGTCTTCTTGAGATTAATGGTACAAGTCTCGTAAGAAAGAAAATAAAAAAAATATATATTTGCGGGATCTTACTTTGTAAAATTCCTCATTTCATTCCTTGTGGAGCGGTGGATTTGGATAAGAGAGTTTGTCATGCTAGGTTTTAATAATTGACTTTATTCACATTTATTCAAATTTAACCATGATTCCCTCCGACAAGTCTAACCATGATTAATGGGATGTCTTGCGACAAGTCATGAACAAATCAATTGAGGATGTCAAGGTGGCAATTTTAAATTCAACTTTTAGGCTTTGATTGAACCTAACAATTCAAACTTCATTTTGAATTCTAAGCTTGGATTGAACATAACAATCAAGTACAAGCACAATTCTTAATAGCATTTATTATTCCGATGTAAAGTTATTAAATATAAATTTAGATTTAATAGATTTGGGTTATTTAAATGGACTTATCAAACATGTTTAACAAATAGATTGTGCGTAAGTCAAACTTAATTTTAGCACAATACTACAATTTAATTTAAATGACTTGAATGTTCAACAATGTATTATCAATCTTAATAACGACCATTTGTGGATGCAATTCCTAAACCAGGTCCTACTGATGTATGATATGTTTGGTCTTTTCAATGCTGATAAGTCAAGCTCATGGGACAGGCATATATTTCCATACTGGCCCACCAAACCCATCTCCCGCGCCATTGATCCAGCCGAGACTAACATGTTAATCTCTCAACCCATCTATATATNTGTTAAGCCTTTTAGGCTGGCCTAGATGTTACATGGCTTCTGTAATTAGGGGTGTTAATTGAGCTGAATTTGAGCCTAATAGTTTGACTATTTACACATAAACGAGCTGGCTCGTTTAACTATTTATATATAAGTGAGCCTAAAAAAATGTTCAGGTTTGGTTTGTTTAAAAGTCCTATCTGTAATTACTTTTCAGGTTAGTTGTTAATCCGTATTATACCGTTTTTCTCTCAAATTTCTTTCTTCGTAGATTACTAATCATGTATTAGTGGCTGATTTACTTATCTACAATCAGGTTCATTGGTGATCTAGTAGTAAGAAGGAAAATATACCAATAGACATTTGGTCAAAAAGGTATTATTTGTTTTGGAAAAATTTTGAATGGTACAAGTCTCGTAAGAAAGAAAATAAAAAAAATATATATTTGCGGGATCTCACTTTGTAAAATTCCTCATTTCATTCCTTGTGGAGCGGTGGATTTGGATAAGAGAGTNATTTCCGACCCTTAAAAAGTGACAAAACTTCTTTAATGTCTCATACATTTGTCACATAGAGTGAGTCGTGTGTGGATTCAGTGAGTTGTATTAAAGCCAAAATGAAAGGTAAAAAAAGAATGCATGAGGAAGATGTTCTACTTCTACCTTCCTTGCATTGAAGAGTGCAAATAGGATGGCACTGAGTTTTTTCTCCGTGATTAGGGGAAGGGAAGGGGAAAATTTTCATGTGCCCAAGATGGTTTTTGATTTCATGGACCATATGGTAGGGTTGTCAACGTTTTGGTATTTTGTAATCATAGAGCTTGGATTGGTGTTTTGAAATGGAAGAGTGTACTCTTTTTGTTGAGAAGTCAATAATAATGTCCAAAGAAATAGAATCATGTGGAAAAGGAACTTTCACCTACATTTTTCACTCCTTTTCAAAATAATAATAATAATAAAAAATNCGGGTTATTTAAATGGACTTATCAAACATGTTTAACAAATAGATTGTGCGTAAGTCAAAACTTAATTTTAGCACAATACTACAATTTAATTTAAATGACTGGAATGTTCAACAATGTATTATCAATCTTAATAACGACCATTTGTGGATGCAATTCCTACACCATGTCCTACTGATGTATGATATGTTTGGTCTTTTCAATGCTGATAAGTCAAGCTCATGGGACAGGCATATATTTCCATACTGGCCCACCAAACCCATCTCCCGCGCCATTGATCCAGCCGAGACTAACATGTTAATCTCTCAACCCATCTATATATAGATCCACACACATCTATATGAGAGAGATAGTGAGAGAGAGAGAGAGAGAGAGAGAGAGAGAGAGAGTTTGTGTATGTCAATTTTCAATTAAGATGGCTGCAGATGATTCTTTTAAGAAGCCAGGAGCCATTCCATTCAAGTGGGAGATCCGACCCGGAGTTCCCAAGGTCCAACAACAACCTCATCTACAATCATCATATGATCACCACCGTCCACTTCCCCTGCAACCGCAACTACATAAACAGCAACACAGTGATCTGGACCCTTCATTTCCATCCACTCCACAAAAGCTTAGACCTCCACCTGCTGGACTATACTTCCAACCTCCACCGGAGCTCAGAACCGGATCCTTCCGCTCAACTACAAGGACCAGGTCCGAGAGCTACCGTTTCGACAGTCACATCCTTGGTCGACCCGAAGTTGTGTCCACTGGCTGCTTACCCACACCACTGCTAAGGCGAAAACATAACAAGAAGAAACTCCACAAGCCCAAACCCGGATATGAGTCCGAACCGGACTACAATTCGGACATTGAAATCCTTTCCCGGTGGTCCATGTCAACTCGAAAGTCCCTGTCACCCTTCCGTGACTCACACTCGTCGTCTTCCTTCTCGTCCTATCAATGTTCGCCACTGCCGGTTGGCGATGCAGAGTGGGCTGGGTTTGGGCTATTTTAGCCATTCACAGCATTACTCTTTGTAGAAGTTACATAGAACACGTATTTCCGACCCTTAAAAAGTGACAAAACTTCTTTAATGTCTCATACATTTGTCACATAGAGTGAATCGTGTGGATTCAGTAAGTTGTATTAAAGCCAAAATGAAAGGTAAAAAAAGCATGCATAAGGAAGATGTTCTACTTCTACCTTCCTTGCATTGAAGAGTGCAAATAGGATGGCACTGAGTTTTTTCTCCGTGATCAGGGGAAGGGAAGGGGAAAATTTTCATGTGCCCAAGATGGTTTTTGATTTCATGGACCATATGGTAGAGTTGTCAACGTTTTGGTATTTTGTAATCATAGAGCTTGGATTGGTGTTTTGAAATGGAAGAGTGTACTCTTTTTGTTGAGAAGTCAATAATAATGTCCAAAGAAATAGAATCATATGGAAAAGGAACTTTCACCTACATTTTTCACTCCTTTTCAAAATAATAATAATAAAAAAAAATACATTTTTCACAGCTTTTTTTACTTTTAGTAAATCATTCATTTCTTGTAATTTTTTCAATAATATTTTTTTTCCTCAATAGGGATAAAATTATTTATAAGTACAAATCTATTCGACCAGAGCCATTGTTTGCAATCTGATCAAACCAAAATAGAGTCGAGCATTAATCAAACTTAAAAACTCATATCGTTTAACATGTCCCATCTTGTTGTCTGATCCGTGAAACAACTCGGTGTTTGTATTATCTGATATAAGAAAATCATCTCCACTTTAATACAACGTCTTTCCTTACCCTCTGAAGTCATTTTAAGCCTTCTAGAACTGCCTCTAAATTATGAATTTAACCCATAAAATCATGTCATTGCTGTTAGTTGATTAATCTTTTTGTCTTTTTTTTTTTACCTTAAATAACTTTACTTATGTTTTCAGATAATAATTGTTCATAACTAAAATAACAGGCTTTTGATCCAATAGTACTCTTTATTTTGTAAAGACTTTATTTTCTTAAAATCAAGGGTTCAAGTCTCCTTCTCCCTCCCCATCCAAAAAAATTAAAAAATTGTTCACCAATAAATTTAAAATTATTTATAGAAAGAAACTTATTCGCACGTTGGTTGAATTTGATACATTTACGATACGATTGTTATAAATCCGATTAAATTTAGTTCACTTAACAACTTAAATGAGATAAAATCGAATCAAGCTTGAATCGAATTTGAACCATTTGGATGTGCTAGTCTTTGAAAAACCACAATGTTTGTATCACTATATTATCAGAAATTTGTATTTTATACCTTAAAAGATTTAAGAATTATTATTTTATATTTTTAAAGATTAAATTTTTCACATTACATTCTCAATGAATTAGTAGTGTTGCCAATTTCGTTACTCATTCCATCAAAGACAATAGAAAAATCTATGAATTTCTATTTTACTTTATTAGTGTAGATAATATATAGTGATGGACATACCTCTATCAATAAAATAATCTCGTAGGCCTATAAGAAGATCTTTCTCTAGTTTAACTCAAATTGTTGAACTCATGTCATAGTTGGAGCTACGATAAATTGCTCTCAATTCTAAGAACTTTTGATTCCAAATTTCAAATTTCAAATGATAAAATTCTTATTCCATCTTCTGTAAAAAAAATTATTTGCCATCAAAATTTTAGATTATCTGTTCAGACGTGATTAGAAGTGAAGAAACACTGATGATGCTGGGATCACCCCTTCTAATAGTTTCTTTAATCTTCTTTTTCTTCCTATATAATTGCACTATTGCATGAAAAATGTAGAGTGGTGACTATGTCTTGGCACATCTTAATATACTGATACCAAGCCACATCTCTAAATGAAATACATGGTTTTGCAGAAAAATTGATAATTTCTTTATATTTGCAAACAATTGTAACTAATAACTCCTTAAAAAATGATAGTTTTGCAATATGAATTGTTATTGAATTATTCATTGCAAGTGAAGAAATGTGCACCATCCACATTTTTCTTTGGGAAGGTTACAAACTCATCTTCCTAAAAGCTAAAATTGAAAGAGAGGGAGAGAGGTTGGTCATTTGGGTGAAAATCCAACCCCTTTCCCTAGGTGTATATGGAGACTCAAGATATCATATGGGCTATCACCTAGTAAAGTTTATATTTGGCACCAAAAAAAAAACAAACAAGGGAGATAATCTCATAGAAGAGAACTGTCCTCGAAAAAAAAAAAGAAAAAGAACAAGAACAAGAAGTGCATGTCAAACATTAAAATGTGTATGCATCTAGTTCCTATTTAGTCTTCAAGTTCTAATTGCAATAATTGAATTATTCTATCTCGATTTATTAATTCAGTCATTCTATCTAGATTTTTATTAATTTATTTTGACATAAAGACCACAAGCGATTTGGTTACAATATCTTTCAAATTCTCATTTTGCATTTTTTTGGGGTATGTTATCTTGTTCATCTCAGAATTGGATGAAATAAAATATGACTTTCTAGCCTACGTAGAAAAGATTTTTTGCCGCATAAATATCCGCTTTTACCCAAGTTACATGTTGATCACAGGAAGTCATTTCATCAGAATAAATAAATGAATTTGGGCGTAATGACTGGATTGAAACTTTTTAAAAACTTTAAGGATTCGATTGTTGTAATTAGAACTTTAGATAGAGATCAAATAAGAATTACGTGTAAACTTTAAGGGTATAAATTATAATTTACGGTTGACGTAAAATCCAGGAATTGGATTCAAGATATTAATTNTAAATTTGTATTTTATACCCTAAAAAATTTAAAAATTATTATTCTATATTTTTAAAGATTAAATTTTTCACATTACATGCTCAATGTATTAGTAGTGTTGCCAATTTCGTTACTCATTCCATCAATGACAATAGAAAAATCTATGAATTTCTGTTTTACTTTATTAGTGTAGATAATATATAGTGATGGACATACCTCTATCAATAAAATAATCTCATAGGCCTATAAGAAGATCTTTATCTAGTTTAACTCAAATTGTTGAACTCATGTCATAGTTGGAGCTACGATAAATTGCTCTCAATTCTAAGAACTTTTGATTCCAAATTTCAAATTTCCAAAGATAAAATTCTTATTCCATCTTCTGTAAAAAAAATTATTTGCCATCAAAATTTTAGATTATCTGTTCAGACGTGATTAGAAGTGAAGAAACACTGATGATGCTGGGATCACCCCTTCTAATAGTTTCTTTAATCTTCTTTTTCTTCCTATATAATTGCACTATTGCATGAAAAATGTAGAGTGGTGACTATGTCTTGGCACATCTTAATATACTGATACCAAGCCACATCTCTAAATGAAATACATGGTTTTGCAGAAAAATTGATAATTTCTTTATATTTGCAAACAATTGTAACTAATAACTCCTTAAAAAATGATAGTTTTGCAATATGAATTGTTATTGAATTATTCATTGCAAGTGAAGAAATGTGCACCATCCACATTTTTCTTTGGGAAGGTTACAAACTCATCTTCCTAAAAGCTAAAATTGAAAGAGAGGGAGAGAGGTTGGTCATTTGGGTGAAAATCCAACCCCTTTCCCTAGGTGTATATGGAGACTCAAGATATCATATGGGCTATCACCTAGTAAAGTTTATATTTGGCACCAAAAAAAAAAAAAACAAGGGAGATAATCTCATAGAAGAGAACTGTCCTCGAAAAAAAAAAAGAAAAAGAACAAGAACAAGAAGTGCATGTCAAACATTAAAATGTGTATGCATCTAGTTCCTATTTAGTCTTCAAGTTCTAATTGCAATAATTGAATTATTCTATCTCGATTTATTAATTCAGTCATTCTATCTAGATTTTTATTAATTTATTTTGACATAAAGACCACAAGCGATTTGGTTACAATATCTTTCAAATTCTCATTTTGCATTTTTTTGGGGTATGTTATCTTGTTCATCTCAGAATTGGATGAAATAAAATATGACTTTCTAGCCTACGTAGAAAAGATTTTTTGCCGCATAAATATCCGCTTTTACCCAAGTTACATGTTGATCACAGGAAGTCATTTCATCAGAATAAATAAATGAATTTGGGCGTAATGACTGGATTGAAACTTTTTAAAAACTTTAAGGATTCGATTGTTGTAATTAGAACTTTAGATAGAGATCAAATAAGAATTACGTGTAAACTTTAAGGGTATAAATTATAATTTACGGTTGACGTAAAATCCAGGAATTGGATTCAAGATATTAATTCAGGGTTGCTTCTCTTAATGTGTAGCTACAATCCATGCAAACGAAACAAACATGAGGCAATGAATAACCATCTCTCTCTTTGAATACTATTACCACCACCTAATGAAACCATGGTGCTATTCAAACAGAGTTTACATAAGAAGNATTAATTTATTTTGACATAAAGACCACAACAGATTTGGTCACAATATCTTTCAAATTCTCATTTTGCATTTTTTTGGGGTATGTTATCTTGTTCATCNGTGATCAGTGGAAATGCTGAACTTTTGATACTTATACACAGGCAAATATGAAACAAGGTACTTTCTAAAAAAATATGAAAGAAGGTAATTGATGGGATCTCATGATTAACGGTAGGAAAAGGGCAATATAATAAAGAAGTTTTTTTTTTTGAAAGGGGGGAAGCAGGGGAAGTGGAATGTTGGCATTGCTGAATAGTGCATTGGAGAGCATACTCTGGAGAACGGCTTAGAAGTACTANTGTAGAAAAAAAATTTTGCCGCATAAATATACGCTTTTACCCAAGTTACATGTTGATCACAGGAAGTCATTTCATCAGAATAAATAAACGAATTTGGGCGTAATGACTGGATTGAAACTTTTTAAAAACTTTAAGGATTCGATTGTTGTAATTAGAACTTTAGAGATCAAATAAGAATTACGTGTAAACTTTAAGGGTATAAATTATAATTTACGGTTGGCGTAAAATCCAGGAATTGGATTCAAGATATTAACTCAGGGTTGCTTCTCTTAATGTGTAGCTGCACTCCATGCAACGAAACAAACATGAGGCAATGAATAACCATCTCTCTCTTTGAATACTATTACCACCACCTAATGAAACCATGGTGCTATTCAAACAGAGTTTACATAAGAAGCTATTCTAGGGCAAAACAATGATCTATATAGACTTTTGTTCATAGAATGATCTCACCAAAACCTCGCTTCCATTGTCACACTCATCTTGTAAACCAAATGTTGGCTGTTATTATCCAAAACAGGCCATTTGATGCCCCGATTGCTGCTTCAGTCACCACTCCTAATTCAAATCAACCATGGACTGTGGGAATAGTCTCTGAGGTGTTGAGATCCATACCGAGATTCTTTTTCCAATCAACAAGATCAATTGGTCGTCAAAAGGGCTTCCGACACCGTACTCCTCTCAGGCAGAGAAGCATTGGAGAAGAACACAGTAAAGCTCGCAAAGGCGNAATGTTGGCATTGCTGAATAGTGCATTGGAGAGCATACTCTGGAGAACGGCTTAGAAGTACTAACAGCGAGGGAGTACATGTATATGTTAGGGCTTAAAACCGTCTATTAGGAAGAAGATAACAAATTAAAAGCTCATTTACTTGGTGTGTTGAGTGATAACTAATGAGTAATTCACTCTTGACACTTTTTTAGTGAAACTGAATAGACTGAGAGTGCTTTGTGCATTGGTTATGATCTTTTGCACCTAGTTTTAAGTGCTTAATTATGTTGTCAATCAGTCTCTCTTTTTTTTCTTTTAAGTTACCCATGTTTTTCAACTACAGAGGCTGGATTCTTATACCCTGTTGGAAACTATGTTTTTGCAGGTTGTGTATGAATGAGCAGAAGTTCAGTGTTAATCACATATTTCCCTTTCATCTTTGGCTGCTGTAGCAAAGGCCTTGCCTTGAAATAACTAAATATCAAAATACGTGTGGGGTTGCATCACATGTGGATCAATTCCTGTGGATTCCCTTTCTATAAACTACTTGAATATGGAATCATGCGCACAAAGATCTTTCCTGCAGCTGGTAACTTTTTAATCCCGGATTCATTTGCCTACATTACTATGATTTTGGATGGGATGAGGGAAACAAGAAAAATGTATCACATTCTTTTAATTTTATATCTTTTTTTTATGCAATTCGGTGCATATTGCTACCATTGTCTACTGATATGGGTCTACTGCAGAGGGATAGGAAACAAAAAATTATTATGGGGAGATTCTGATGAATGAATTTATATAATATTCCTTTTTAATTTTTTTGGGATGTACATTGTAATCGGCTTCATCATTATTATTTGGGAGTAAGATATTCAGTAAAACATGTTATTGAAGCTTACATTAGATTTCATTAGCTTAAGAAGGATTAGTTTTTGAAAAACCCATTTTTTTTTCCATTACATCTTTCCAGTAAGTGGCCACGACTCAGTCATGCAATGGACATCCAACTTAACCTTTTTAAGTTTTTCCAGCAAAGCAATCAGAGAACTTTGAAGACTATTAATATGACCATCCAACTTGATTATGTAATTTGTGCTCTTTATAACATCACATGTGTAGCTTCAAAGCATGTAATTGAAACTCACAATTAGGTAAAGTGAATTTAAGAAGTCATCGTGAAGCTCAACCTAGTTTTGGATGTTCCTTCTCCTTGTCTAATGATATTTAGTAAAAATACTTCGGTTATTGTGAGATTGATTATTTGGAGTAATCAAAGGGCAAAATTTTGTATATGGAGACACTTAAATTTTTTTACCTGGACCAAAAGTATTTTGATTTTTGATGCCCTTGTATAAGAGCAAGATGACAATGCAATATAGGTAACATCTTATGCCTCACACAATGGAACTTTAGGTGAAAGGGATTAAGCAAAGGACTAAGACATTAAATGAGGGTATGAAAAACTAGTGTGGTTTGTTGTGAGGAAGATTGTACATACATTTTCTTTTGTCTTAAAAAGGCCAGTAGTTTTCAAGTCTAGAAAAGAGAACTTACCAAAAAAAAAAAGAAAGTCTAGAAAGGGGAATAGAGACCATACGGTATTTGTTGGCAGGGTCCTTGAAGAGGTAATCATGAACCATACCAAAGAAGGATATCTTGATGGGATTAAGAACATGCGTGGCGGAGTGATAGCTAATATGAGATCCATTGGAGGAGAGACAGTCTTCCAATCACAATAAGCTATCAAAGTTTCTTTCAATCACAATAAACTATCATGAAGGTTTGGCTTTGAGTTTGTAGCCATCGGCTTAATTCTCATCTCAATGCATTTGAGAACATGCTAGGAAGTGATAAACATGAAGGAATACGTTTGTTTGAGGTAAATTTTGTCTGTTCCGAAGAAATTAAAAGTTAAAAGCTCATTTGCTGGTTGTGGTAAGTGATAAGTGACAAGTAATACACATTTGGGTTGGAACTTTGACCCCTTTTTTAGTGAAGCTTAATAAACTGAGTGAGCTTTGTGCTCTTGTTGTGATCTATTGTGCATAGTTTTAAGTGCTTAATTATGTGGTCAAACGGCCTCTTTTTCCAAGTACTCGTTTGTTAGATTATATTTGTAATTGACTAATTTCGTGGAATACATTGTAAATCTCAACTTATTCTATGGTCATGATATTATCAAGTTCAAAATCCGAAAGCGTTATTGAAGATAGAAGATCAAGCGTCAAAGTAGCATCATTCAATTTCCGTATTCACCTTCATACTTAGGATAAGGTAATGACCTAGACACTTAAAATGAACCCCTAATGATTTTTAACTTTGGTTAATTAGGATGAAAATGGAATTGAAAGCAATCCGACTATGACTTCTAGGCAATTTTTAAAGAAAAGATTTTCTAAATTATTTGTTAGTTTTAAAAACATAGTTTGAGTCATAATCGGACCCCTCTTTGACCAACACATTTTAATGCTCAAGTGGACAAATTTTTACATGGTTTTATGCTTAAAAACCTGTAGGGACCGACTATGTTTGCTAGACTTTGCTAGAGCGGTCTCTTTATAACTTAGCAAAGAAAATGGGAAAAGGTCATGGAAGGTAGCATAGGATTTGCGCTATGAGCTCACTCTAGTGTTATTTCATGTTCGTTCGAGCGGTGCTTGCCTTAGTTGGGATTGAAACGTGATTTTTATTCTAGTGACAACCACCCTATTACTGGTCCCTCATCGATTGTGTGGTCTTTTGCAAATTTGAGTTTTCTTATTTATTAAAACTATCCTTATTCTTGACCTATAAAAAGAGAGAGCCTTTCCCACATCTAGGTTAATCCCCTTGTGAGATTTTTAAGAGAGAAAATCATCTTTCTACCTTGAGAGCTTCCACCACACAATTTGGAGAAGAAGATCTTGTTAGTTTGATAAACCCATTGGTGTGTGCATGTCAAGGATCATTGGCATACCCATGATTGTTCGAGGCCTAGACGAACCATGCGGTGGGAGGTCCAAGAGAATCTACACTAGACGTCAAAGTAAGGCCTTTGGCAGAAAGAGGCAACAAGGAAAAGAGCATCTAACCATGGTATTGGTTGAGGTATAAGACTCGAGTACTTGCATGTCGACTTAGAGAGTAGTGAATTAGGCTTTAATAAACCAAGAAGGTTCCCGCGGTTTTTCCTAAACTGGGNTTTCGTGGAATACATTGTAAATCTCAACTTATTCTATGGTCATGATATTATCAAGTTCAAAATCCGAAAGCGTTATTGAAGATAGAAGATCAAGCGTCAAAGTAGCATCATTCAATTTCCGTATTCACCTTCATACTTAGGATAAGGTAATGACCTAGACACTTAAAATGAACCCCTAATGATTTTTAACTTTGGTTAATTAGGATGAAAATGGAATTGAAAGCAATCCGACTATGACTTCTAGGCAATTTTTAAAGAAAAGATTTTCTAAACTATTTGTTAGTTTTAAAAACATAGTTTGAGTTATAATCGGACCCCTCTTTGACCAACACATTTTAATGCTCAAGAGGACAAATTTTTACATTGTTTTATGCTTAAAAACCTGTAGGGACCGACTATGTTTGCTAGACTTTGCTAGAGCGGTCTCTTTATAACTTAGCAAAGAAAATGGGAAAAGGTCATGGAAGGTAGCATAGGATTTGCGCTATGAGCTCGCTCTAGTGTTCTTTCATGTTCGTTCGAGCGGTGCTTGCCTTAGTTGGGATTGAAAAGTGATTTTTATTCTAGTGACAACCACCCTATTACTGGTCCCTCATCGATTGTGTGGTCTTTTGCAAATTTGAGTTTTCTTATTTACTAAAACTATCCTTATTCTTGACCTATAAAAAGAGAGAGCCTTTCCCACATCTAGGTTAATCCTCTTGTGAGATTTTTAAGAGAGAAAATCATCTTTCTACCTTGAGAGCTTCCACCACACAATTTGGAGAAGAAGATCTTGTTAGTTTGATAAACCCATCGGTGTGTGCATGTCAAGGATCATTGGCATACCCATGATTGTTCGAGGCCTAGACGAACCATGCGGTGGGAGGTCCAAGAGAATCTACACTAGACGTCAAAGTAAGGCCTTTGGCAGAAAGAGGCAACAAGGAAAAGAGCATCTAACCATGGTATTGGTTGAGGTATAAGACTCGAGTACTTGCATGTCGACTTAGAGAGTAGTGAATTAGGCTTTAATAAACCAAGAAGGTTCCCGCGGTTTTTCCTAAACTGGGTTTTCTGTGTCAACAAATCACTCACGTTATTTACTGTTTAACGTATACACTCGTGATTGTTTACACACACGCACTATGTGTTTGATATTTTAATTGTTTGAATATTCATTCAACCATCGTGTGCAATTGAGTTTGGATTTTTGGATCGACGTGATATTGATTACAAGCGAATTAATTGAAGATTAATTTAATCAATCGTCATAAGCAAGGTGAGTTATGATGACTAAAGGGGTTCTCACCATTCATTGATAAATTTGTGTGAGAAGAGGTAATTGTGGTATTATAGGTTTTAATTGGTAATCAATTGAGTGTAAAATTGAAAAACCTATTCGCCCCGACTTCTAGGTAAAGTCTCTATTGCTCCACGTGTATAATCTTGAGGGAAGATCCACATCGAGTTTTTTCTCCCGGAACAACATTTTTTTTTGAACTATGGATGCTGGATTCCGATACTCTGCTGGAATTTGTTTTTGCAGGCCATTAAGGAATGAGCAGAAGTTTAATGTTATATTTTGCCTTTGGAGATGTGGTCTTTGGCTCATGTAGCAAAGGCCTTGTCTCAAAATATCTAAATGTTAGATTGATCAAATTGGTGTTGTGAGAAGTGAAGAAAATTTATGGTGTCACTTGGATGTTGGCTGCGCATGTTGATGCTACCTTATTGATATGTGTGGATTGCATCAAATGTGGATCGATTTTTGTGGTTTCTCTTTCCGTAAACTACTTGAATATGGAATCACACCCACGAAGATCTTTCCAATTGCTGGTAACTTTTTAATCCCAGATTCATTTGCCTACATTACTATGATTTTGGATGGGATGAGGGGAACAAGAAAA